GGGTTGCTGTTTTAGAAAAGGAGGATGGATTAGGGCCCCAGGGCAACCTGTGCTTGAGTCCTATTGAACTCAGTGGGAGATGAGTGTGAGCATCGCATGCTGCACTTTAAGGAGTCAGTGTGCTAGAGGCAATATCTTTTATTAGACCAACTACACAGTTGCAAAAACAAAAAAATCTTTATTTGCATGTTTTCAGGCACATGCACCTTTCCTCAGGCATAGGAGAATGCAAAGATGGTAACATTTCTCCCAGGTAGAAATGAAAATTTGCATTTCACAGGAGAGTTGGAGGGTCTCCTGGCTGGAGAAGTTCATTTTTCATTAGGCTCGGATAAAAGTTGGAGCAGTCTATTTACCTGAAAGGTGTCTGATGGCAAGCAGGATGTTGAATGCTGCTTCTTCCTAGTTAGGATGTTTCATATTTCACAGGAGGATTGGTGATGGAAGGTCCTCCTGGGCAAGGAATTTCTTGCCCAGTTTAAGGATGCGCTCGAGAACCGTAGTGAATCCCATGCTATCTGGTGGCAGCTCCGCAACGCGGCCACTTACTTCCACGTTTTTGTCACGTGTCGGTCTTTTTGGAACACACTGAAAGTTTTAGTTAACTTTGGAGGTAACCCAAGAAGTGTGGAGATATGTCAGCACTTTAGAAATAATTAGTGATTATTTAATTACCAAGACTGCATTATAATAATTAATACACATAGAATTAAATGGTCATTCCTCTTCCCTCAGGAGCTAATATTGATTCCCTTTCCTGTAACAGTATTTCAGCTGCTATTGCTTGACTGTTTCCAGCACAAATGGGGAAAAGCTGTTGTCTGATGTTTGCAGGGGAAAAGCAGACAGGGTGCACTTCAATCGTCTCTTCTTTCTGTTTGATTTGACTCAGTAGGACAGGGTGCTTAGAAATGTGAAGAAGGCAATTCAAAGTAGGGAGCCAGGGCCTCACAAATTTTATTCCCTTTAAATAATCTCAGATCTGGACTTCCCTTTAAATAATCTCAGATTCTGCCACAGCAGCTACTCTTATTTATCTGTCTGCATTTCAGACCCAACTGGTTGGAGCCTTCCCTGCCTTTCTCAAGCCATGGTTAATCTTGTGTATTTGGATTGCCATTGCTGCACTGAAATTGGGTTGAAAGATCTTTGTATTGAGTGCTAATTGGGTTGAAAAATCCTTGAATTGAGTACTGAAAGCAGTACTTTCTAGTGTGTGTTAAGCTTTATCTGCTGCAGAAATGTATTTATTTATAGCTTAATAAAGGCAAATGGGATGAACAGGATTTTCTCTCTTAGTAGACAGGGTACACGTCAAGTATTGTTACATGCAGGTCTCCCAGCTTTCCAGATTTAATGACAAAGAGACATGTAGCTGTGTCACAGGTTTACAGGGGGGTGACTGATGTATGCAGGCAGGTGAACATGTCCAGATGGGTCCTCTGCTTTCCTTGTGTCCCGAAGCATTGCCAGATGCACCACAGTGCACTGCTGAGTTGAAAGATAGATAGATGTGCATTAGAGTTTTTTAAGTAGTTCGTGCAAAGACCTGTGGATGGGAGCTTGACGGCCCTGAAAGGAGCAAGGGATCAGGAATGAATGCTAAGGTCTTCTGCTCCTCTCTGCTTCTTTCTGAAGGCTATTGTTCACAGAGCACTTTAAAGGCCTCAACAGCTCATTCGGAGGCATTCCTGGCTCACAGCGGTCCTGAAGTCACTCCACCTACCCTGCTTTCACCTCTCTGGCCCTCTTTATCCCCATCGAGGATCCCACACATACAGCAAGAAGTCCAGACAAGGTGAGGAATGTGGTTTCTCCCCATTTTTTCCCTTAAACACTCCCTGCAGTTTTCTTTGAAGAAAAACATTTGGTTTTTGTCCTCGAGTGTTATGTGCTGGTTGCATGGACAGTTGCTGCCTTTCATCCCACTGGTAGATGACATGTACCCGTCCTGGAGCATGTATGCTCCATGAATGTGTACCCATGTGTGTATGTCAAGGTAAAGGCTTACATCAATTCATGATCACTTCAAGTCCCTCCTAATTTATTCTAATTTATTACTGTTGTCTTGGCAGGTTTTTCTTGGAGAAACATGCCAGTGCGTTGGTGCACCTAGAGCTGTCCTTAATGACAGAAGAAATAAACACAATCTGCTCCTTTTATGAATCATCCAAAGCTCTGGAAAAGGAAGAGCATAAAGAAAGCCAGGTACGAGCAGTGCTGCCTCAGCCTGCAGTTCTCAGTCAGAGAGTGGGAAAGGGGGATTTTCTTATTTCCTTTTTGAACTGGTTTCATCTCATTTCCCTCCAATGATATAACACAGGCGGCTGAAGCAAAACAGATTTTCTTTCCAAAACATGAGGGATCCTGAAGTTCTAACATTGCAAAGCCAAATGCAAAAGCTAACAAAAAACGGGTACCTAAAATTTGGTTCTTGTTTCTCTATTTTGCTACTTACCTAGTTTCAATCAGAGCTACTGTCTGCCTGGTAGTACTGTCCATCAGGCTGTTTATTTAAGAGCCTATCTATGGACATAGAGGCCTAATCTTTCTGCTCCATTTTCCCCAAATCTTGCACTTAGCATTACTGATTGTTTTTAATGTTACTGACATCCAAATGTTAGCGGCTGAAGCAGAAATGTGTCTGGTTTCAGGATATGAAAAGCAATAAAGAGAGGGAGATGGGCAGGAAGCGGGACACCCTTCTGCAAGACTTGGCTGAATACCACCAGGAGGCTGAACAAACCCTGCGCCAGAAGCACTGGGAAGACATCAAGAATTCAGGGCTCAGTCTGGATCTAGGAACACTCAAAAACACCTTGCATTTCCTGGAAGAAATTCCACCTCACTTCTCATTGCTTGATCCTGGGTCACGAATTTCTGATTCCCACATCAGATCAGACGTCACTAAAGAACAAGAAGTAAGTTCAAGGAGCCTTCTTTACACTCGCACGCCTATCGCTTTTCTGACCTATGTTTTCCTCCATAAAAAAGGACGATGGACTTGACTGCATGCCTCAAAAGCATCAGTGGAAACCTCAGCCTCATAGATTCATAGATTGTTAGGGGCTGGAAGAGACCTCACAGATCATCGGGTCCAGCCCCCCTCTATTTGTGCTAAACGCAATCACTATGTTTCTGATCACAAAATAAATCTCTTGATGCATAGCTAAAAATGTAGCTATGAGGAGCACATTACTATCCACATGTAAATGGTATTTGTGTTTTTAAAAAAGCAATGCCAATAGTATGGTTCTTCAGATAGACGACCCTAGAAAACTATTTTCATTCAGAGTAAAAAAATGGGGGTAAAGTGTAAAAAGATTGTCATCAAGACAATATATAGGAATCTCAGTAGTGATAAGAATTTTAGCCAAGAAGAGAACCCTGCCAAAAACAGAAATCCTACACAAACCAAGATTTTAAAAAAGGGACATCTAAATCCAGGCTCAAAAGCTTGTACATTGACACTCAGATAAATAGCCCCCCTTCTGGAGGTATTTCAGCGGAAGATGCTGAGCACTCAATACCTCTAAATGTCAGGTCACTTCTGTTACTGCTAAAGTATGGAATTAAGCAGCCTTTCAGAAAAGAATTTAATTTTAAATGAGCATGATACAAGACAATATAGAGGAAACACACCTGCCATTTAGACATAACATTTTAAAATACTTGTGTCTTGCAAGATTTATTGGTATATTCCCTCCTGTTGCACTTATGTACACACACACACACACACACACACACACACACACACACACACACGTACACACACACACAATTTTTTGCCACAGTCCTAGCTATTAAAACTTTGAATAGAGAAGGAGAGGATAGGAAGAGTTGCTTTGCCAGTGGCCATGACACTGCTCTTTAATTGCACTGCATTTTACAGTAAAATGTAATAGATTTTTCCCAACTCGATAAGCACGTCTAGGAAGTTTGGCAACTTAGGTTTTGCCATTTCATTTCTGCAAGCATATCATGCTGATGCCTGGCAAACTTTGTGAGGACACATCCCTCTTAAAAAGCAATATTGTCCTTTCTGTAAAGAAAGCAACACAGATGGTTTAGGCAGCAACTTGTGGGAATAATTTGCATTGTGCTCGTAAAGTGGTGTAAATGCTACCCACCGGATGATGTGGATATAGAATGAGTTTCTCCTGTATGTTTTTTTCCTCTCTTTTACTCCACAGACAGCCTATTCATTGGAAGAAAAGTTATTTCCAGACTCAACGACTCAAATATTACAAGCTTCAGCAGTCAAAATAGTAAAGCTGGAAGCTATGAAACAAGTTTGTCTGTATAGAGTGCTGGATCTCTACAATGATCTCCAGGTACTTCCATTTCAGCCTTTCTTCATCTCACTGTTTCCCAGGTGAAGTTAATGCCTGCCTGAGAACTGATGATATAAACGTTTAGACAAGGGCAGGGGAGTGAGAAGTGTTTTTATCCCTATTGTACAGGAGAGAGAGAGGCATTGAGAAACTGCCTCTTACTGAAGGTGTGAACACATGACACACATACACCAGTGCAAGTTGCATCACTTTTGTACATCCATGTAATGTATCCTGGGATCCACAGCAGATAGAGAGCAGCTTACTTTAGAATAGTAGGTGGCAGGCTGCTATTACTGTGCTTCACTACTAGGTAATGGGAATCCCATCTAATAGCTTGTCTTCAAACTGCTACAGGGATAGAGGCTGTGGACACCATTTGTACACCAATATGACTTTCACCAGTGAAGTTCTACCCCTGATTTTTCACTGGGGTAATTGTACGCTGGATTCCAGTGTAACACCAGATGTTGAATGTATTGGTGTCACTCCCCTAGGCTGCAGCAGAGATCTGGACTAATTCTAAAGCTACTAGTAGTCTAGGACAAGTTTTGACCCCTGGTTTGCCAGGCAATATGCAAACCTCATCCTAATCCCAATTTCTTACCATACTGTCACTTACTTGTAGGCTTATTGCATATTTAGGAGTAGGCTTATCCATTTTGCATGAAAGCACAAGCTCCCCAGATAAATTCTGCGCCCTGATCCTATTTGATCAAGCAGAGGATTGAGTGCAGGGACATTAGCCCGAAGCGGGGCATGTACGGGGTTATGTTCACTGCTGCTACATGGCGGGGGTGCACGGGGTTATGTTCAGTGCAGAATCTCAAATGCAGAAGTCACACACATTTATCTCCATCCTTGTGCTTTCTCACGTAAGAGACAGGCCTGCCCAGAGGGTGTGTCAAGGATCCTAAACCAGTTGGAATACAGAGCTACAGGAGAAGCAGTCGCTCAGGAGGTAGCCCAGGCTGTGGAGAAGCAGCAAGTCACAAGAGCCATGACTTTTCTCCAAAAGCACCACCAAGAGGGGGATTTGCTCACTGGATTAAAGGAAGAGTCAGAGGGTAAACTGAGACATCTGCAGAAACAATTCCAAATGGAGCTTCAAATGCAAACAGAAGACAAGGTACAGTAGCCACAGTATTAGTCCTCCCCCCTTTGCTTTTGGAACTACACAGGAGAGGCAGGCACATATAGCATACAACAGTATGATTTGTAGCCCCCAAACATTTGAATCATGTGTTATCCACAGCGAGGCTTAGCCACCTCCAGCAGGACTCCAACTTCATCAAGAGTATCCTCTGCAGGCCTCTTAGCTGCATAGTTCCCATGGTTCTTCAACACAGCTCTTTGATTTCTTTCATTCAAACCTTGCTGGTAGACCTTGAATATTTCCAAGCTCTCATTTTTCTGTAGGGGACTGACTCTAAAAAGGCATGGCAATATTTTCTTCCTAGCTGCAGGCCAAAGAAATGCAAGTGATCCACAAAGCTGAAAGACAGGAGTTAAGAAACCATGCTGAGCACCTGGTATATTTTATCCTGTCTCAGAGGCACCTGCGGCAAACAGTAATAATGCTACAAGACTGCTTCAGGCTCCAAACAATGAATGAGAGAACGCAGAGTGAAGATGGGCATTTGGAGGAGCTGGCCATAGAGGTAAAGCTTGTTTGCTTCAGGGCTGGTACTGCTTACCCTGCTGTATTTATGCTATGGGCCATAGCTCTCACTGGCTTCACCTGGAGCTGGGAATCAAAAAGCTGGTCTCAAAGGCTGGGATTTTCAAAGGAGCCTCAACAAGAATTGAGTACCTCATTCCTTTGCTATTTTCTTAATATGTTAATATAGATTTAATTCAGGCTCTTTTAAAAAATCCCCAGGTAGGCTTCTGCAGCTGGGCAGCCAGTAACTGAGGCCTTCAAAGTTAGAAGCAAATATGTGGATCATTTGGGAAGGCCTGCCTCTTAAGTGAGAAAGCACAAGGATAGGGATAAGTGAGTGTGACTTGATTTCTGCATTTGAGATCCTGTTTCCAACACTGAGTGATGTAGCTGCAGTGCACATATTCTGTAAACCTGGCCCCCCTCAATGGATATGCTTAGGGCTAATGCCTATTAAATTATTTGAAAATTATTTTGGGATTTACAGATAAGAAGAACTATATGCATTATTACCGGTATGTAACTCCTTCTGCCCTGGATGACTCTTCTGTACTTTCCTGAGAAGCAGCGTTCCAGAGAGCAAAATAACCAAGAAAACAAACAGGGTTTTCTGCTCCTATTAGTGTTGCATTGCTGTATTATGTGACCCGTGGACCTTTTGTGTTTCAGGAGCCATTGCTCGATGATGATCTTAAGAGTATTTTGCATCTCATGAAAGATCACATGGAGCACAGATCATCAGTCCTGGAGCTGAAACAAGCTGCCAAATTGTTGCAGCTGAGAGAGAAACAATTTAGAGAAGTAGCCCGTGGCCTGAAAGACCATTCTTTGGACAAGGTGAGATTGAAAAAGAATTATCTAACGATGATGGTACCCACTCTCGAGCTCTGCATGTAACCTCCTTGCTGTCAGCCTCTTTCCTTAACAAACCATGCAAAGGTCAGAATAATATTTTCAATACTTTTGCTACAGACTGTACAAAATGAGCATAGTTGTATCAATCTGTCATTGTACACTTTTATACTGAGCCCTGACTTGGATATTATCTGAAAAAGAATGTTTTGGAGAGTCTCAACAGACCAATGTCGTGTTTGATTGAAGGGGCATCGTCTAATAACCAAAAAACTGATGAGGGACTGTGTTCAGCATGACATTGGGGGTTCCTGGGTTCTGTGCCTAGGTTTGCCTCCTACATGGGCACTTACAACCTCACTCCTGTGTGACCAGCTCACTCCTCCGTGCCTCACTGAATACACCCGCAGAGTTGCACTGTAGCGCTTACCTACCCCAGGGAGACTATACAAAGCTTTAATGTTTTTGCAGAAGCCTTGGCCGCCTCAGATGAAAGCTGCTGTCTGAGCAATTTAGTGTTACTGCTGTTATTGCATCATAACTCTTTGCTTGCCCACAAACCTTTCTTTCTGTGAACAATACCTGCTTTTCTAAGTTTTCTAATCCTTCCATGTGTATATTCTACAGGCTGTGGATTATGCTAACACAGCAACTGATGGACTGCGGGAATTCAGAGAGCAGACAATAAGGAGATTGACCCAGCAATTGAAACTAACCATGGGCAATAGAAGATCTAGGGAAAACACCCCAAGCCTCCTTCATCCAGTGCAGGTAGAAAAAACAGCACATCCCATATGATTTCAAACTGCATTTATTGCACTATATGCCGGTCTGACCGTGCACTGTTCTGTAAGCAACAAATGACTTGTGCAGAACAGAAAGGCAATGGAACAAGCTGCTCTGGGAAGATGCAGAGCCTCCTTCATTGGGGGCTTCCAAGAAGATGCTGGATGAGCATATGACAGGGGTGGTTTAGGTTTTTGTGCAGGAGGTTGAACTAGACAACCCCAGAGATCTCTCCAAACCCCACAATTCTAAAAGAAGGCAAATGACACAAGCCCTTCTACCCTGTAGATCAAAAAACCCACCCTGGAAGCAGAAAATAAAAGAGGAAAAGGGGAAGAGGTCTGGGAGATTTTCCAAGAGAAGCAGCTGGAGCTGGAGGAATCTCACAGATGGCAAATATCAGATAAAGGAGCAAAGCTGCAGGATCAGCTGGAGTGTGGAGACCTAAAGAACTGGATGATGCATGTAGGGCCTGGTCCCAAAATGTACATTTTGCAGCATGATGGCACATATACAATGGAAAGTCTATAAAGGGACCTCTTAGATATCATCATCATTACCATCTTCTTCTGTTCCTCTTATTGTACACTGCTTTTGTTTGCCCATACTCAGGGCAAGTGTACAGTCTTTCACCAATCCCAAGGTTATGTCCTTGCTCATAGAGGCAGTTGCCAACTATGGCATGCTATGTTAAATATGAAATTCAGCCCCATAGAGGAGGGTTGGTCAAATATGACACATGTCAATGGCAACTGCAACATGCTACATCAGGGGTGGACAAAATGCAGCCCAAGGGCCAGATGCGGCCCACCAAGCCATTCTGTCTGACCCACAGGGCCCCTAAAAAATTTAGAAAATTAATATTAATCTGCCCTGGGCTGACTGTCATGCGGCCATCGATGGCTTGCCAAAACTCATTAAGCGGTCTTCTGCCCAAAACAATTGCCCACCCCTGTGCTACATCCATGAGAGGATAAAGGGGACAGAGTTGAAGAGCCTTATGCCAGGGCAGTGAGTAGAGGGTAGTGTTGTGCAGTGACAGGCTGTGTTACCCATGGATCTCACCTTACCAGCTTTCACGTCTTACTCCTGATCCTTGATAGAAACTGGTGGAAGAACACAATGACACCACAGCCTTCTTGGAAAAGGCTTTCCACCAGGACTTGGAGAAGTTGAGAATGAAGCCAGAGCAGAAGAAGAATGAGAAAGAAGAGAAACAACAAGAAAAAGACCCTTCTTCATCTTCATCTACCTCCTCACACACCCAAGAGAAACCTAGCCAGGCATGTGACCAGGTTTTAGCGCTCTTTGCAGAGAGTAAGTCTGATTTGCAGTGGGAATCTTAGTGGAGCTATTAGTCCTTGTTGAGTGGATATGACTCCTGGGGCACCGTTCGGAAAAATCAGATCACAATTACAGTGCAGACCGAGGGAGGTGTTACATGATCACCTGAAGAAATGCCAGTTTCTCTCTTTCAATAAAGCATAACAGGAAAAAACCTAGGCATTTCCAGAAATTAGAAACCGAACAAAATTTAGATCAAAAGAGACATCAGGTCTTTTCCACCCTGAAGATGATCATTTTTCTGCCCCCATAAGAAACTAGTGGAATCTGTATTACTAGGCATGTCTATACATGCATTTACTGCACAGTAATTTATTGTGCAGTAAATTACAGTGCAGTGAGCAGTTTTTACGCCGCTGTCTACATGTGCAGGAGTCACAGTGCAGTAATGCTGTGTGTGGACTGACTTGGGAGTAAAGTTAGTCCCAAATCAGTCCACTCACACAGGGTTACTGTACACTAAGGCATCTACACATGTCTTACTGCGCAGTAACTACTCAGGTGTAAATTTGTTATCTGCATCAGGGAGGTAGCAAATTTATGCCCAAATCGGCATAAGTCGCTATAGTTACTGGGCACTACAGGCATGCATATGTAGATGCACACCCGTGCTGCACAGTAATTTTCAGTTACTGTGTAGTAACCTAAATTACGGTGCACGTGTAGATGCACCCAGCGAGATTTAGATGCAGAATCTAGGATGTAAATATTATGTACCATACATAGTAAAAGATGAGTGAGATTGTGGAATAAGAGAAGGATTATGGGGATAGCGTATGAGCATTTCTACAACTCTTTGCTGAGAACTTATCTAATGTGTATATTGACCTCACACAGGTATCAAAATACTGAAGCAGACTGAAAAGGTGATGGCCTCAAGGATTATCCTTCTGAATCCTCAGTTCCGGTGTGGTAAGGCTTTTAAGCTAATAACAGCTGACCACTTTTCTGTCTGTGGATCTCCATGAAATGTCCCCTTGCAGAGGCTTCCTTCCCAGACAGCTCTATCTGCTGCATCGTTCTGTCCCTTGTAGGAGGCTTCACTACCTGTGCAGTTGCTGCAGCGCAGACCACATGAAATAGTAGCTGTGCTTTGAACAATGCCAGAAACGCACACAGTTAAATGTCGATTTCTTTAACTGAGCAAAACTCCCACTGGCTATGCCAGGGTACAGAATTTAGCAGTCTCTTAGGCAATCACATTTTATGGATTTAAATTTTTTTAATGACATTTCTTCTCTTCTCATCACTTACAAATGCATCATTTGCAAACAATACTTCTAATTAAGAGTTGCCCATGGCTGCTTGCTGTAATTTCCAAGTACTCCACGCAGGAGCAAGCAGAAAAAGTTTTCATTTGATCCAATTTATTCTTTCAATTTTTGTTTTTGAACAAAGAAGTTTGAATAATAGATGAGACAGATGCAAAATAGAAAGTTCACTGGGTTAGGTGTTATCCCCAGTACTGGGGAGAAGAAAATACTCCTTTTGGTAATTTTAAAATGTCTTTGTGCAAAATTACAGTAACTAAGAACGAAAAGGGCTGTTCGAAAAATCCTAATTACACGTGAAAATTACTTTCCTTTTAAGATGCATGCTTCCCATTTGCCTTATGCAAATCCTGTCAGGGACAGTTATTTCAGACTGTTACATTTTTATATTCTTTTGTGTAGACAGCAATAAAAGCAAATGCCTAAATACCTCTCTGCTCCTCACACTCTTGAGAGATGTGAATGACCAGCTCCAAACTCATGCAAAGGCAGCAGGGCTGCTGGAAAGCCAGCAGGAGAAAGGTAAGCTTTTCTTCCCCTCTGATTTTGAGGCAACTTTTCAGGACACTTCACTGTAACACTGGAAACACTCTATCAAGTCTCAGGTGTGAATGCTATCTAATTAACTGTTGAGGTGTCCTGGAGGTATTTTCCTCTATGGAGGGTGTAGCATCTAATAGCAAAAGTAGTTGGGGAAAGAGAAGAGAGCCAGCAGAATACGTGCCTTTGCCACTGACTTGCTGTGATGCCTTGGGCAAGCCACTTTAACTTGTCAGTGATCTGTGCAATAACGCCCATCTCACTGGTGGGATGCGGTTTTTCTTGTCATCTGTAAAATTGTTCGGCACTTTGAGTTCTTTGAAAGGAAGGTATCGTGCATCAGGGTGGCCTTGTTCCTGCTACCCTGTGGGGTTTATAAGCATGATGAGAGGTTTCGCACATATTTTTCTGACTAACATGGTTAAGTCTGGTTGTGTTTTAACTAACACAAGGCCTGACACAGATCTAGCCCTCTTCTTTTGTTTATAAGGGAGCACGTGTGCAGTCCTCTTGTTTCTGTGCCTCTTAGAAATGATCCTGGTTTCTCTGTAACTGATACAGAAGGAGTTCATTGAATGGGATTAAAAAAGCACAAATGCACTTTGCAGCACAGTTTGACTGGGCAAATATAACAGTAATTAAAAGACCAGATAACTGGGTGTTTTTTTGTTTCTGTACTGAGAACCCAAGAAATAGGCCAGGAAGCAGTTAGTTCTCACTTATAAGTCTCTGCAATTAAATGCATCTTATCCAGTCTTCTCATCTCTTAGTATTTTATAATAAAAGTCAATTTGTACTTGTACTAACTCAGAAGTAAAATGAAGTCAACCCGTCTGTTGAAATGCTGCCAACTTTTGTAGGCACAGGAAGTTCTTTCCGGGACATACCAGACGTTCTGATGATTCATAAAGGGGAACTTAAACCAGTTCATCCCGAAGCCCTTTCTGCAAGAGAGTTTGTCATATACCAGTATGGCATCTCCGTCCTACAATTTCTACGACTTCACATCAATGTAAGTTTAAAACACTAATATCCTGTTGGAAACTACATCCACTCTCATAAGGAAGTAGACATTTATAGAAAAGCACCAATAAAATGCAGCAGGCTGCAGAAAACTTCCCAGCTGTAGGTGAAGAAAGACTAGAGAGTGAGTGAGAGATGACACTGAAACGGCTTCATCTAGAGCAGCATGGGAGAATCATCTTGGATCAGATGTCCAGATGGTGTTTCTCAAGATATGAATTCATTTTGTCTCCTGCCTCAGCCTCTCAGCATGACCTTAGACAAGTCACTCACTCTTTCTGTGCCTCAGTTCAGCTGCAAAGTGGCAATAGTAACACCACCTTGACCTGCCTGCATTTTAAACTTTGATGCGGGGAGTCTTTTACACTCCGTCTGTTCAGCACTTAGCATGTTGAAGCCTGGCTCTAGGTAGAGGCCTCTAGGGGCTCCTGTAACTCAATCAATAAATTATAATACCAAAAGAGCAGCAACCACCAGGGCCCCTGGGCTGAAGTGTGCTTTCATTTATGCAATTAGAAGGCTAGCAGGATGAACTCCTGTGATCTGCTGGGGACTTTTTAAACACTCTCCATTGTCATGTGGTATTCGCTGGCTCTGTGTTTCCCCTGCAAATCAAAGCTGGCATTTAAATACATTTATATTCCATTAATATGTCTGTCTTACTTTGCAGATTTAAAGCATGTAAAAAATTTCATAGAAGCTATTTTTTTCCCTGTAGGCTCCGGAAATTAACCTCTGCATTGCCACCAGCATACCTTGCAGTAATGCTGTGGGCAACGCTTTCCGAAACTCCTTCTTTTACCAGGTATGTCATTTAACACTTTAGCCAACCTCCTCAATATTCTCAGGTTTATTGATTTTTTTTGGATTAAGGAGTGAAATGGAAAGAGATTTTGTATTTATAAAGACATGGCGCACGCACTCCCTTCTAGGAAAAGACTGTTAAGCAAAGGAACAATAAATGTCACTGTGAAAGAACAATCTCTGTTCTGCCAGAGATTATTAACATAGCCCAGATAGTTCTGGCCATAAATCTTATGGATATTTTCAAGCTGTGATGTAGATGGGACCTATTGAAAGTCTGAGGGGTAGTAAAATCTGTGGCTCCATGTTTCCAAAGAAATCTTTTAGGTCCAAATTCCAATGCTGTTGCTCACACGGAGTGGTGCCTTACTCTGAGTAGCCTCCTTTAAAGTCAGGGGAGTAAGCACGCTAGGCGAAAGGGTTTAAAACCTGATCCAGGGGTGTTTATTTCTACAGCACCATAGCAAGAGAGGAAGCTGTGTATCACTGTAACATTTGGGATACATGAGAAAGACGAGAGAATATTTCATACAAGGGCAGAGTGCCAGAAATGTAGCCTTCGCACTCTGCAAATGAATCCAAAAATGGGCTTTTTCATGAGGGGGGAAAAATAGTAAGGTTGCACATTACTGTGTCCTGAATAAAACCTTCCAAAATCACAATTTTTTGCACGTGGGCATAGGCACGTACCCCAGGGACTCTAAGCAGAATTCACCCAGTGTCCATAAAAGCAACACATTGCACCTGGGTTAATGCTGCCTTGTTATCTCTACCTGCTCTGGACCCTTTTCCTTTCCTTCTTAGAATTTCGAGAAGAAATTATTTGTTTTAAGAGAGTGTCTGGGCTCTGTGGGCAGCTTCCTTCTGCTGCTGGTGCATTGTCTGGCTCACATCGCTGCCGCGGACCTCAGCCAGGACTCCAGCCCAGCCTTTCTGAGATTGTTTTATCAGGTATCAAAACACCCTGGGTATCCAGCTGCATGAAGGTGACATGTTCTGCACAGAGATTTACCTTCTTGGCACCTCCTGCCTCTGCTTGTAATTAATAAGCATCAAGAGGGGAGGTGGGATAAGATGCTTGCCCTTTAATGCAAACCGCTCATTTTGTTTTCACGTGACTACACGCTGATAACCTAGCAGGGTGGCAAGTGTGTCATCAGGATGTTGGTCACGCAGTGAAAGAACACCGCTTCGTGCTGACTGTTGCCAGCCTGTTGTAAAACAGCCTGAAGATCCAGAGCAATGGGTGCATAGTCTCCTGTCGATGAACAAAGCTGATATAGAAATACTTGCTACACTCTTTTGTAGCTGGACTATAATGTGTGGAAAGAAGAAAGAAAGGACAGGCCTGTTCTAGCAATCTATTGCCCACTCTAGAAGAGTATAAAGTTGTTGGGGAAGCAGATTTAAAGATCTGTGCTGGGGGGAGCACAGCAAAATACTATATTTTTTCTCCAGATAGTTTAACAGCTTTGTGACTCTTGGTGTTTGATACAAGTTGGGTCTCTGGAGATGCTCTCCTTACCACTGGATCATGGGTATGTCTCCTCAGTCTTGCAGGGCTGGCAGATGGCTGTTCATGTTCAGTGGTGCTCATAACAGAGAAGGACTTGCAGACATGCACAGAGCTCTGCTGCCCATGCTGCTGGTAGCTAGCCTGCTGTCCTGGTCTTGGCCTCCTCAGAGCAGCAGGATCATATTAACTCATGCAACCTGGTTCGTGTGGGATCTGTACCCTTCTTCCAAGAGAATACCTCCAGGCCAATAGACCCATTTCTTCTGTGACATGAATCTGGGCTTCCAGAGCTGAAAAGCAATCGTTCTAACTCACTGCCCATTTACTCTCCCTTCTAATTAGCTATTGCCTTTATTAAAGAGTTAGCTTTAAATAAATGCTTTCAAGTTTTTTAAATGAATTATCTCCATTCCTAGGCACTAAAGGCCTGTCTCAGTGAAACCTTCTCTCTCAGACTCCGGATGTCAGCACTTCTGCAGAACAATAAATCCTCTGAGAGGATAAGTGAGATTCTGCTGAAGGGAGAACCACTCATGGAAGGGAACATAAATCTTCTCTCTCAGCTTTTTGATGCAAAAGTGGAATCATCCACAGAGACTGAGACCTCTGAGGAGGTAACTAGATGGTGGATGAACCCTGGTGCATTTGAATGCCCCTATCCATCTCATTGCTCCATACAAGGGATTCTGCACTCCCATTTCCCCCATCTGTTAGGTCAGCCTTGTGCACAAGACCAGTGCAAGTGCTCTGCCTCGTAGGTGGGATGTAGGCACGACATTAGGCTGCTGCTGGCTTACCGCCTACTGGATTTTGTCCCAGTTAGTGTGCTTAGGCAGTACAGCTAAAAGCCCACTCATCACAAGACTGGCTAGGGTTTGTGTGGGCAATATTGGAACTAAATGATTATCCAGTCTGCACAGTAGGTTTATTTAACCCGCTGACAAACTGGAACAAATGCATGAAAGGGCTACCAGGATGATGAGCAGAACTGTCTAGAAGATAAGCCTAAAAGATCTCAATGTGTTCAGAAATGCAAAATGAAGTTTGAGAAGGGACATGATTGCTGTCTGCAAATATCTTGCAAGGGCAAGCACCAGAAAAGCACAGGAAGAAAAGCAAGTTCGCTCCAGAACAATGCTGGCTTAAATGTGACCGTGAATAAATTGAGGCTGGGACTGAGAATGCAGCTTCTAACCCAACCCCCAGAGAAGTAAGAGGATCGAACAGGCTTTCACTAGAAGTAGTGGCGGGTGGGCCAGGGCTTTTAAGATGGAAGTGAATGGTTGTAGGAATGGGGTTGCATGATGCAGGGTTTGCAAGAGCAGGGGCTGGACTCAAGGATGCAGAAGGTCCCTTCCCATGCTGAGCTCCAGAACTGAAGCAGCAGCACCACCACCAAGGTGGGCAAATCTCTGCTGCACTCATAATTTAACAAGTGCCTATGACACAGTATTTTGATGCTACAACCTACACCTCTGTGACACAGTAGTACTCTGGCTGTGTAATTTAACATTAAATAGGCTGTAAGTCAGCTAAGCCTCTAACCTCAGCAGCTGCCTTTTGATTGCCCTGCCAAGAGGTGGATTGCAGGACTGACCCCTCCTGATAGTCTCTCAGCCAAAGCATCTGCTCCACAGAGCGAGGGGGCGAGTCTTCAGCTGGGGAGGCAGTTGAGTGCTCTTTACTTCCTTGACAGGGATATATACTTATTAAAAGAACCAAGGGGCAGATCCCCAGCAGGCTTGATCAATGGAGCCTCACTGACACACCTGCCGAGGCTCTCCTGTTTGGATAAGCGGAACAATAATATTCGTTGTCTGCTTGCTTGCCATCTTGACAACACCTGTAACCTGGAGGAACATCATTTAGAGATGTTTCTTTAGCATGAGGTACGTGGCACAGCTACAAAGATAGGGCCATCGTTTTCAGTGTAAGTTCTGATCAAACGTCTTCAAAAGCTGACTCTCTTAACTGGGAAATACTTTGAGCTGGGAGGAAATCTCTAGTCCCACACAAATCATACCAGGGCATTGGAGAAAGAGATGTCTTTGGAAACGCATTCGAGGCAGAGGCTAGGTTTTTAAAGCCAAAGATGACCTGTGTCCTCCTTTTTTTACCTGTGCTCTCTGGTCACACAGTGTAAGAGGAGCCTCTTGCTCCATGCAAATCTTGAGGACTTGCTGAAGAATACGCTGTCTGAAAAGAAAAAGGAACGTTTCGTCCCCATCTCAGCTGACTGCAAAGAAAAGAGCTCTGCTGGGAGGACAAGGTGAGAATTATTGCCTGGAGGTATTAAGTGGTATGTAAAATAAGCATCAAAATAATCTCTGATATGAAACAAGTACATTTCCAGGCCCTTCCTTTGGTGCTGGTTTCCAATATGGAGCCTGGCTGCATAATCAGATGGTCAAAGACATATTAGAATAAAAAAAAGCACAACAGGTCATATCCCTCATTAATACAACTCCGCTGACTTCATAGTGGACATGCTGCAGCAGTGTTTGGCCTCTGAATGACAAGGCCATGTCACAGGGAATTGCAAAATTCCCTTGAGAACAAAGCTACCGTAATTATTAATCTTTCTTTTTGCTTCCCCCCAAGCCACCATCCTCACTCAGTGGTACATGGGGTAAACCACTACAAACCAGCTCTCATCCAGACCCTACTCTGTAGCAGAAGCAGAAATATTTCTATAGGTGCAGCTCTCCTACTGTCTGAGTAAGTCTTACATCTTTGCTCCCATTTCTTCAGCTTGCGAGAGGAAAACTGTTCTTCCTTCAGTCCTGCAGAAATGGAAGAGAAGCTGGACGCATTAACCGAAGAGCTGGTGAAAATCATGGAAGAGGAGCATCGCTTTTTAAGCAGTGCTGCCAATGATGATTTGCCCTTCGATCATCTAGAAATAATTGGTTTGGAGAAAGACTGTCTGGTAAAGCAAATAGAAATGTTAGAGGGGAAAATAGCAGAAGGCAGAGGGGGTTATGGTAACATGTTATCACAGCAAATTAAAACCACAGAGGATAGTCTGGCAGCATGAACCTAATGTAGCTCTGTGCACTCCCCTGCAGACCCTGAACTGAATAAACATCTCGTGTTGTTCCACTGTGGGTGTCCTTTCTCCCAGCTGCTTATTAAAAAACCTTGTCTGGTATCATTGAAAAAGCCAGGACCCCGGCCCAAATGGTTCTGAGACTTCTTCAGCAATACTGCTTAATCAATGCTAAATAACCAGTTGACGAATCTCGGACATCACCATTGCACTGATTATCAAAAAGGAACCAGGTGGGGATTTAGAAATAAAAATTCATATCAATCCAGCTTACAAAAATGTCTGAACAGCATTAAATGATATAGCTGGGCAACCCCTATATTCACTCTTGGCCCTTAAAATTGTTCAAAGCCGGTTTCTTGTCCAAATTTCAGGGCCCAGTTTCAAAAACTACTGGGCCTTTCTCACTGATGTCCGCAGGAGCTGAATGCTCCCTGTTCCTTGCTCTAGGAGAGGTGATGTTATCTCTGACCTTAACAGTGCAAGGGGAGATGAAAGACGAGCCCTGCATATAGATTTGAAGGTGATTATGTCTGTTACGAATGACTTCGGTGCAATTAAAAGTGTCAGCTATTTGATTTCTTTCATGTTCTTCATAAGGATGATTTGATTAGTGTCCTCATGAAGTATGTACTCACAACATAGCGTGAGAGTTCAGAGACCAGTTGAAACTCTAATCAATAAGCTACATCTGTTTGCACAAATAAATGTTTTAAAAAAAATGCAGATCAAAGCTGAAGCGGCAGGTGTCCAGGCTCTGAGCTACGGGTGTACTGAGAAGCCATAAGGCAGCAGTGCGTCTGAGTTCTGCTAGTGCAAGAAGTGAAGACACCAACCACAAGGGAGTCTTAACTTCTCCGCTAGCCCCACAAAATCCCTCCATCCCATTGCTATTAACATACGCTGCAAGCTTTTAGAGTGAAGACTTTTAAATGGAAATACTGTACAAGTCATGACAAAAAGAAAGTGTTAGTTTCTACCTGCCTTTCATGAGGGATCTACTGGAATCTATTAATAGCAAATTTATTTCAAGAAGAGTGGTATGATTACGTGTGTTTAAAAAAATGAATTTATGCATGGATGTGAGTCAGTGATGTAGATCTGTGCTGAAAAGAAACACGGGTCAATCCAGTGGTGAGGCAAGGCTGCCAGAATCAGATGTTCAATGCTGAACTGTGGCTTTCACCCCACTGAGAACTTTGCAGCGCAGTTAAGGTAAGCTGGGGTACAATTTATGAAGCATGAACTGGTTAATACAACTGATGCAGCAAGATTAAAGTGGATGAAGTCCTACATCCTCCCATTGCTCTTCTCTGCTGTTGCCTAATGTAAGGGAAAGGAACCTTTCCTTTCCTTCCTCAGTCCTTTTGTTGGCCTTCATTTGAAATCTAAATGGACTGGATTTCAACTTAATTTAAAACAGTCTTTCATGCCATTTTAACTCCAATTACATAAATAATTTACAGCTGTCATACACTTGCACATTGTATAATGGGAGGTGGGGGGGCAGAAGATTATGTTGATTTCTGCAACAGAAATCATTAGGACTCTGTGGACAATAGCAACTTCTCTAGCATACTTTTGAGTGATGTTTCTAGAATTTACTGAATTGCTTGATGTTTGCAGCATTAGGTGATGGCTCATGAATTAAGATGGGATTGGACCAGAACAACCATAACCAGCTGTCTTGTTATAGCTGCATTTAGACAAATAAATGCATGTAAAAAAAAAAAAAAAAAAAAATTGCATCACTAGTGGGATTTATGCCTGGCCAGCAGTTGAAGCATACATTGTCTTCTAATGGGCTGTAAAGTTTAAGAGGTGTATTATTCTTCCCTTCAAAGGGCTTTTTACATGTGGTTAAAGATTAGGTAAAGGCTTATTTTCCTTGGGGAAGGGGGAGAAACCCATCTATAAATCTGACAGCCAGCTTTTCTAGCAATAGGTACTACTTGCTGCTGGCTTAAAGGCCCTGGTCTCTCTGCAAAATACTTCCCAAAAGTAGCTCAAGATGGGGAGAAAAGTTGCTCTTGGAGGAACCAGATCTTAAGAGCACATTGATCTCATGACTTGTCCCTGCATTTAGAGGAACCCCTCCCTACAAGCCTGGACTACACTCTTGTTTAGGAGAGTAGCCCTGTGCTACAGGCAAAGATGTTTGCCAGATAAAGTTATTCCAGCAACATTTATGGAAATAACTGGCCTTCTATCTACTGCATCTTTGGCCATGTTCCTTGGAGTTATTTGGGATGTTTCCCCTTTATAAGAGAACAGGCTGAACTACAGAGCAGTGTTCTTCATCGTTTATTAAGTTACATTCAAGCCCCTTCAAGGAGTCATGAGTTGTAGGAGACTTTCAGACAGAATACAAGTTTATTTTGCTCCAGGTATGTGAATGAGCATTAGACAGCTGCATCCACTGTGCCCTGCCAGAAGAAAACAAAGTCATTCAATGCAACTCAGTGTTACCTATCTCTAGCCTACAAAGATCCTCTGGGTTGCCTTCAATACAAAAAACACAGGAGCTATGTTAGCATGTTCTAGCTGAAAGCTGCTGGCACTTGCCTTTTTTTTTTTTTTTTTGGCTTTCACCCTTTAGACACTTGGTGACAAGTCAGATAATACTTTTTAAAAGCATAGCTAAGTTTATTTATTGGTATTGGCATTTCCTTTTTAAAGTTACAAATAGAGTTTTGCAAGTTAGTTTTCAGGATCTCTTGACTTTATAAAAAATACATTAAAAATCTTAGCTTAATTATAAAAAAAAAAAAATCTTGAAGTCTCAGGCATATAAAAGAGGGAGAAGTATAAAAGAGAGAGACAGGAGAAGATAAAGAAAGCCGAGTGCTTTTCAGCTCATGCAGGTTTCATCGAGGCAGGCTTCCTCCCATACACTGCCCAGTCTGTCATTGTGGCCCACGAGCGTTGCAGCAATTGCCTTATCGCTTGGTGTTGACCCAGTGATACCGATCCACACGTGGTCCAGCAAAGGCAGCCATTGGCTTGTAGACTTTGTAGCCCTTGTGTTGGGGGAAGCAAGCACTTGCCAGATGAAGGCTGTCGGTCATGTAGGTCTTCCTACGGAGATACTGGGACCATGACTGCGTGGGTAGCTTGCAGTAGTCACTGAACTAAGAACAGCAGCAGAGCAGGTGTCAAGAGGCCCCCAGGCCAAGTTAGTGATCTATTTCTGTATTACAGCGAGGGTGGTGGTGCATCAATGAGCACGGGAAGCCTGCCACTCTGATAAGGGAGACCACCAGGAAGGGGAAAAGCATAAAGCAAATCTCCACATCCTTTAACATCCCTTCCCCCAGCAAGTCATTTTGATCAGACTAACCACTTCCTCTCTCAGGACACCATGCAGGCACATCCCAACCCTCCATCTTACCTGGTAGACACTGTTTGGATTGCTGACTGTAGGGATGGCTTTGGGCTCTTTGCGATAGCCCTCCTCATCCGAGGAGGCACCAGAAGGATATTCTGGTGTTGCTCGATCAACAGCCTGGCTGATGCGCTGGGAGAGTTCTCGGTCCTCCTCTCCTTCAAAGTGAGCAATTGTGAAAGGCAGATTTTTCTCACCATACCTAGGAGCAAGAGGAAGCATTTGCCCAATTTCTCCTAAGCATAAGACTTTGAGACCTACTGACAGCCACGTATGGGGCCACCTTCGCACTCAACCCTCAAAGTTGTCTTTCCTACTGAAGCACCATGACAGCACCGAGACAAAGGGTGTTGTCTATTGGTATATCAGCAGGCTCTCTGCTGAAGCAAAACACCAATACACTAGTAATATATTACTAGTTGGAGGACAACTCCTTCTGCTCAAGAGTTGCTCAGGCTTGTGGAACTCCAGAAGTTTGGAGACCCCATTCTTAGTTTAGCCTGAGAAAGTACTTGTGCCCAAAGTCCCCTAGCCCCCAAAAGCCATACATTAAAACAGAGGGACAGACAAGCTATCCTACAACTGGTCACCCCATTCAGGCCACACCTGCAGCACACATCAAATGGATCAACCCATATGGTCATTTCTGGTGGCAAGCAGAGCTTCTCAAAGTCCACATTGCTCTCAGCACAAGCCTGTTCCAGGACGGGATCTCTCGACTGGTGTTGGTTTATCCTTATACACCTAGAGAGGAAACCACAGGAGTGAAGGAGGGAATGTGGTAGGTTGTAGCACTAGTACTCATTGCAGAGTTAATCCTGTTTGTGCAGGAGACACCTTTCAGGCAGACTTGATGGCTATTTTAGCTCAAGGTTGCAGACTTTGCAGGGGCCATGATCTGTATCAGCACAGATATTACTGTGGCTATTCACACATGCTTGGTGATCATTGCAGACCCAGTACGCCTTAGGAATTACATGCACCAGAGTGATCCAGGGTTACTGTACTCCTTAAGGAGAGTAAGCACTTAGGGGTTCACACTACAGCATCTCTCATGCATGGGCAGAAGAGCTTTACTTGAATGGCCAAGGTGTAGGTATAGCCTGTTGTGCACCCAGGCACAGGTTAGTGGCTCTTCTCCATTCTCCAATCACTCATTCCTCTCAAGTTCAATAGGAAATGCTCATTTAAAAAAATAAATAAAGAAAATAAAAATTGTATTTTCAGGGTTTGCAACATTTGCTTTGCTTCCCCCTGTATTAGGTCTATCCATTTCTTAGGCTGGATAGTCTAGGAGCAGTGTGCACACTACCAGTATCTAGGTCTTATCTAGTCCCAGTTACTTTGCTAGATCCCAGGCCTGCTTCCTCCTCTGTAGCAGAAACAGGCCAGAGTCATTTACCTGAAGGCTTGTCCTTTAGATGGGTTGTCTAGGTACCAGTGGTTCTTGTACTTTTCAAACAGGATTGTCGTCAACTTAGCAGCAAATTTCTCAGTTGTATGCTTGCTCAGTTTGTCTTGTTTTTTCACCAACCTTGTGATGAAGACAACTGTGGCAGCAATTTCATCTTTCATTTTTTTTTTTAAATGGAGAGTAGAGGATTTTCCAGTTGCTAGACCATCACTGTGGATGGAGATAAGTAGAGTATCTGTTCTCTCTCATATACAAGACCTTAACATTAAAAAAAAAGTCAAAGTCAAAACTTTACTAAGTAAAGATGGTCTAGGCAAGCTATAGCAAGAAGATCTTAGCCACCCTAGAAAAGCAGGGAAACTGGGAGTCCCACTAGTTAGAGAAACTATACTTTAGCAACTCATTGGCTCTCCATTTTCAGTTAGTTATAGCATTGCCACCCCATATCAGGAATCATCAGTTAAGCCTCTCTCTTTTTTAAGGATTAATTGAAACACTCAGAATGTATGCATCTTAAGTCAAGTGTTTTTTGTCCCTGCAATTCAGGAATTATACACGTAGCAACAGTTGCCTTAAGAAGGAAGGATTGCAGTGAAGCAGTTTCCAAGTCTGACTTGCAATAAAAAAAAAAACAACAAAAAAAAAAACACCACATAAATATTATGGTGTTATAAGAGCTAGCTTCTTGCCTTCCTGGAGTACCATCTTGAGATATTGGTGGAGCCTGTTTATAAGCCTCTTCAGAGACTTCTACCCCATGGAGTTAGAGTTAAGTAGACAATACAGGACTAGTAAGTCTGCCATTGCAAAGCTGTTAGTCACCTTGATAGCATAGTGCTCAAATACATACTAGAGTGGTGAACAGGTCTTTATTGAAAGGTACTTTCTCTATTCCATGTAGAAGACAGCATTAAAATCAAGGATGAGAAACCTGTGACTTGAAACAAGTTTCATTAATCTTCAGGCAGCAAGGACCTTATAACAATAGAGTTCATATAATAAAACCAAAGGGTGGAGGTTAGACTTAAAATAAGAGCCTTTCAAGTCAGAGCAAGCAGAAGTGCAACCATCTTAAAAAGCACCATACTTTTAGGTACACTAGAACTACAATACATACTTAAAACTGCTTGACCATTTTAAAAAACATACCATCATCCCACTTAGGGAGACCACCTACCCTTACAAAGTCAACCCCTTCCTTACTTCTCCTCTAAGAGCTTTGGCTTCAGGTTTATGTAGAATTGCAAATCAACTAGCAATTAAGGGAGCTTAACAGCTGAGCAGGTGCCTTCCATTAGGGGAAGACAGCTAGCTGATTTCAATTTGCTTGTTTTCAGTATATATTAGGTCCTGTTTTTAAAGTACTTAAAATGCTACATTTTATTTTAGGCATGTTAATCTAGTGCTCTTATACACATTTATTTAGAGTTTAGGTGAATTTCTTACATTATGAAAGAAAGCAATACCAGTGTCAATAATTAATCACTGGAGTTATCCTTCCTAGTTGCTAAAGAATTAAAACAGCATAGCTGCTTGCCTTTTAGATAGCTTGCAAATTAATCATCCTGTCTTTGAAAATTAAACGACTGGGGTTTTTTATCATTACCAGTGCTTGTCATCATTTAGATTTTTTAATACACTTTAGTATTGCTGATTTTTCTAAAACATTTTCACAAATATGGTGAAGATCACTGGAGGTTCATTTTGAAGAAGGCACTTTCTGAAATGTAAGTTCTTCACTGTTTGAGGACTGGGGCAATAATTAGCCAGTGCCTTATGGAGAAGGAGGCTGATTCTTTTGATCCTTTTGAGATGTACTAACATCTCCAGAAACTACCTTGGCACTGTCAGACACCAGGTACAATCCAAGTAAAAAAAAACAGTCACAGATCAGCAGCTAGCATGTTCTTTGTCTAGATTTAATTTGAAAAAGTGTAGTAACTGGAAGAATTAAGAGCCCAGTCATGTAGGTCTATGGGCACGCCTACCTTCACACATGTGAATATTTCCATTTATATCAGTGGGATAGGTGATCTATGCAAGTGTACAAGCACTTTTAAGGGACTGGGGTCCAGATCTGCATTATATGCCCAGCTTTGTTCTTCTGAATTCCTTTTGCCCCATCTGTCCCAAGCATTTCCTTGCTTTCTATCAGTTTCCTTTTGCACCACTACAAAGGCTGATCAAGCACGTAGCAGCAAAAAAAAAAAAAAAAGAAAGGGGGGGGGGGAAGCTTCTGCTCTCCCATTTGCTATTCCCCCCAATGGCTAGGCTTCCATCACCATGAAAGCTCCTAATACCTTTTTAGACAGGTATGTGGTCTCTTCATTTTACAGATAGAGAAACCAAAGGACAGCAAGATGAAGTAAATCTTCCAAAAAAATCATCTCTGGGAAATACAGGTATTGAACCCCTCTCTAGTATCCTAGGCCCACATCTTAACTATAAGTTTCCCTAGTGCGCATCCCACAATGCACACAACAGCCTGTAATGACAAACAGAGATTGTGCTTGTTGCATAGGCAAGGCATGAGTCATTCTTCCCTTTTTTCTTCCAACATAAAAGGGCAAGAGATATCAGTGCAAGCCTTGCTAGAGAACTGGGGTTAGATTGCAGGAAATTATTGCAATGCGTTACTATGTAGAACACCTCTTATTCCCTACAGGATTTTTTAGGGGGGTATTAGTCTCTAGCTGCAAAATCTGTAAGGAATTTCATTTCCTACTGAGCCCTGGGCACATTGCAAACCAAAATGCGCAATAGGGAAGAATTCACGAACACGCACCTTTATGCCCAATTGTCACAAACCGGACGTCCATGCCCGAGGGCTGAACTGGATTCTGAAGATTAAAAATCGCTTTAAAATGGCAAGCCTCTGATGGGTAATTTAATTTTCTGGTTTGAATGGCTCCCTTTGTAAATCCTGCAGACACAACTTATGACCCCATCAGCTTCTCCTTGTTCTTAAACATCTTTTGTTTGATGATATGTCACAGAAAAGGTTCCTCGTGGAAACTGCTCTTATGGAAATAGTCACTTTTTAAAAATGTTATCAGTGACTGGTATAAATGCTAATAAGGCTGACCATATGAGCCAGAGCCAAGCCTCAGGTGTCCACAAACTCACTCTTGACCTCAATATTTATTGCTGCCCCTCTGTGAATAGCACTGCAATGACTTGTGAACTTGAACGGCAATGCTTCTGCTATTCCAGTCCCACTGTACCCACAGGCAGCTCTGCCAGTGCAGTTCAAGCTTGGATTTAGCACTCTCAGCTGGGCAAATCGCAAGCCCCTACATAGCACTTCTCATGAGAAGGCATTTATTTCAAGCTCAGTCTCTTCAAGTTTGTTGTTCCACAGGCAGAGATTGAAAGCTAACTCACTCAGCATTTTTCCAATGGACTGCTGCAGAAAGAGATAATTGTTAAATCCTGCTAATGTATTATCATATATTGGAACTTTTACTCATGGGAATATAGTGCTTGCATCGTTAACAACAGTCATCATTTAGGAAACATTTCACAAACAAGAAAGAATTGTTGGAAAATTGCTGCTATATTTCTTTGGTACTTACACTAATGGAACCTGCTGGAGAAGTGATTTAAACAAATAGGATCATTATCCCCCACCCCTAAGCTGGATTATAGTGGGTTGGTTCTGATTAAAGGTCCCAAGGCATTGCAGAGCACCACATTATAGGCAGATGCAAAAGTACGAGCGGACTGTACTAGATTGCTAGTCACAGGAATCAACCTCTTCCTGTTACTTCTATCACAGGAGAAATTCAGTTGTATATGCGCAGCTGGTATTTGCAGCTCAGAGCTTAACCTTCGCAAAGCGCTGATTTCTTACTCACTTTCCTGACAAAGATGTATTCTAGGACTTGACATTAATGCTCAGCAGATGTCACAAGAGAAATATCCAGGATCATTTATGACTTGTCATTTCCAGCACTGTTTCATCCTTAGTACAGGACACTAAAGTTCACAAGTGGAGCTTTGGAGCTGTTACAGAGGTGCTGTGGGCATAATAGATGTATGCTCTGCATGCCTTTTATTGTAATCCCTCTCTATTCTCATATTATTCATGCCCATCTCTGAAGATTATTACTGCCTGGCTACAACAGGCCTGATCCAAAGCTGACAGAGATCAATGGAAAGATTCCCATGGACTCCAACGGGCTGTGAGTCAGGCCCACTGTGGAGGTGTCACTCCGCAGGCTGATGCATAGAACAAGAGCAGCCATGATTGTGGCAGAAGAGAATTACCTTAACTCATTTCTCTCTGCCTCGCTTGGTCACATGAGTACCAACGGGCAGCACAGGTCCCCATTGGGAACAGCGGGTGCATCTACACGAGACGCTAACTGTGCAGTAGCCTAATTCTACTGCGCATTAGCATGCAGGGCAAAAACAATGCTAATATGCTAATGCGTATCTCGCCCCCCGTATTTGCCCTGGATGGCTCTTTCCTACTTGTTCACTGTAAATGCTTTGGAACAAGGTTACTATTTGTTGAGTACATTTTGCCATTGTGCAGTAGTGATTAACAAGGTAATAATCATTGCTGATCATGTCAGTCCAGTGGGAAAACACTCGCCCTGCCAAGGAGATGGCATTTTGGGGGAGCACAAATGAATAAAACTGAGTATCATCAGGATGGGTTAGGTTACATTTAACACTATTTGAACTGAAAGTGAGTATTAAAAAGAAAGTTAAATTTACCTCCTAAAAAAGACAGAAATTGCATGTTAGTACAGGCTTCAGCCCTGCGTCACTGCGGTCAATAGAGGTTTTGCCACCGGTTTCAGTGCCTGAGCTGATCTTAGGTTTTGGGAATCCCTCGGTTGCTTTTTTCCCACTTCCCTGTTGAGTGCAGTTCCATGCGGGCTGGTGAAGCATATCAGCTGATGGGACTTTGAACCGTCTCCTGGCTATTACTTTCTTCAACATGTCTAGGCAAGCCCTGGGAGTTATGAAATAGTGCAGCAGAATAATCAAGTGCCTGGGTCCTACAAAGGACAATCCAACAGGCAGCTGAGTCCCCACGCCACCTCCCTTTGTTCAGCGATTTCTGCTGATAGCTAACGTACAACCGTAAATCAGCTGTAAACAAACTCTTCACCGGAGAAACCAGACTGAGGACTCGCAGCAATGAGACCATTCATGGGATAAGGTCCTATTCAGTGGCAGCCCACAAGGCAGGACTTGGACCCAGATTAATAGCTGAACTCAGCCACTTCATACAGCATATGTCCAACAGAAATGACGAAGCAGCTTCCTACTCATCGAGATGACTACAGATATTGAGGTCATGGCTGATTTAGATATGAAGCAATAAAAGTTCTGTGACCGAATTCCTTTGATATGATTCCCTAACACAGGAATACAAAAATGGTTTTGTTCATGAGGCCAGTGAACAGAAACTGTAAAAGTATAGGGTTTCCAGCTTTCAGGCTTCCCATTTCATTGACAAGGAAAACCTCCATTTTCTAATTAGTCAAACTGGTTGACTGCTAATGATTTCTAATGAAGCTATTTGTCATGACTGACTTCTGGGAGATGCCTATTTATTTGGATAATTGAAAACCTAAGGAAACAAGCTTCAGGGAGAAAGCTTGAAAGGAATTTCCCAACAGAAGATGGACTGGGCAATGGCCTTAAATATTCTCCAACACCCGACATGCTCCATCCACACCTGAGCAGAAACCACTAAATCCAAGGGCTTTTGCAAAGAGGAAGAATGTGATGAATAGCCAGATACTTTGATTCACAAGTTGTATGAGCTGAAGGGGAGTCATTTGCTCCTTGATTTCTTGAATTGATGTCAAAAAGAAAAATCTGCATTCCAATGCCTGGGCACAAAGGGCCTAACTCAGAGCCCATGTAAATCAGTGGGAATCTGTCCATTGACTTTGATGGGCTTTGGATTGGGTCCCTAACTCAGCCCAAGCATTCTTACTTAGATTAAAATATGGGTCTCCCTGATTACCAGGCAAGCCTAGGCATGAACCAGAGAGGGAAAAGAGTCGCTCAGTTTCTCTAGTAACTGCAGGCCAAACCAAGAACAAGAACTGTTTCCCTAACCACATTGCTGGTTAGTAGGATGTTGCAGTTCTGCTCTTTTACCAGCTCTGTTGCTAAACGATAGAGCAGACACCGCTTTGCCTGAAATAGCCTTCCTCCTGCCTGTTCTGCACACTTTGTTCAAAAGAAAACATCTGTTCTTTGGGATCAAGCCTTTGCCATTGGTTTATTGGGTCGTCTGCCCGTACAAGTGGGATGAATGGGAGCTTCCCCACTGCAGGTAAGGTGTCTGAACTATCACTAATGATCTGCATCTCCAGCCAATTGGCATGAGCCGTCCTGCAGGAAGAACCCTCCTTGGTGAGGAATGAATGAAACCCTGCTAGAGAAGAGGCGCTTTGCAATCGTCGGCCCTGGCTGCATTTCAGCCCGTTGTTCAGGCAGCACTTGAGGTACAAAAATGTGCAATAATACTAATTGCTACAGGTTCAAAAGGGATCTGCTGGGTTAGGTGTGTTCTGATGCGGTGAGGTAAGGTGATGGTGTTGGGCAGTGTGACGTTAGCAGGACAAATTCATGTAAGGAGATGATCTTGTTGCAAAAATCTTTCTGGCTGAAGCCAGCATAGAAACTAATTTTCAATCAAAGCCATAAACTGAGTATTTCAATGTGCTGATCAATGACAGAGCTTTTTTTCCTCTGAGAATATACTAATAGGTACTGCCTGGGCCTGCTCACTTCAGTGAGTTTTGTGGGCATTTATTTCAGAAATTAATCACAATTTCCCATTAAAGCCTGCATGCTTAATGCTTAGGCAGTAATTTGATGAGTGAGGGGTATGGCAGATGATTTTCTTAGATACACGTTTTATCCTAAGTGCTGGACTTTATGATCTAGGAAGATGGTGGTGTGCCCAGGCTCATTATACCGATCGCAGCAGGCCGGATGCAGAGCCCTTTGCAGTCAAAGGAGAGACCCCCATCGACTCAGGTGCCCTTTGATTCCAACTCTGTGGGGCTGCTCAGGTTGCACAGGAAAGCATGCAGTGCAAGGGATGAGAGCAGGTTTCAGCCAGCATGGGACGGAGATGGTGCAAGACAAGGTATAACTGATTCCACCTTGTTTCAAGGGTGTATGTCCTGTCCCAGGGTGGTATGACCCAGTTCCCTGCCCTGTGGAGTTGAGACTCAGTTGTATCCTCATCTCTGGGAACTGTTGTCTTTCCTGGCTTACAGGGGCTCTTACTGGACTTGTTCATGAAGTTTGTTGCAGCCTTGAATGGCCTCTTATAACATTAATTGCAGTCATGGTGCAAAATAGGGAGCAAGCACTGCTTGCCTGATGGAGGCTCTTAATCCTTTAGATACCAAGAGATGCTAAGACTTCTGTTGTGGCCTGGTGTCTCTGGAAACTGGAAATGTGAGGTTTGATGCAGCCTGTGTTGAACAGTCAAGAAACACATGCGGTGTTTGCCCAGTCAACCTAATCTGGAAAGGGGCTTTGTGCCATATTTTAGCCTGCTAGAGTAATGTAACAATTTGCTGAGATCTATTAAATGTTTCCCAGCTGTGATTTTGCAAAAGCCTGCTGCTCAGAGGGACATGCCCAGTGCTCCTGGGAAATCGGGCCCCTTCAGATTACCTCTGGTGCAGCCCTGAACACAATGAGGTGCCTAAAAGCTTTAGTCCTTCTTTACCCTGAGTGTCTCCAACCCCAGCCTGCCCCTGGGACGTGCATCTGCCGAGCACAACACCCTCTAGCTCTCTTCCCCAAATTCAGCAGCAAGGAGCATGTTTATTACGTTCTACAGTGCTTCCTCCCTTGTACTAAGGGGAGATGCGGAGCAGGAAGCCCTGCTCTGGCTCCCTTGCTGCCAGCCTGGTATGAAGGATGCCGCAGGGAAGAAAAGGGGCATGGCTAGTGCCATGCTCCTGCAAGGTGGCTTCACTCACCTGCCTCCTGTCCTGGACACCTCTGCTGCAATCTCAGGTTGGGGGTACGGGATGACAGGAGGGGAAATAGTGCTGGGAAGGAGGAGAGAGAGAGGGTCTGTTAGGAGATGGGGCCATGGAGTGGGTAGGACATGCCAAGGGGCAATGAGCAGTGAATGCCAGGGCCAGTGGAAATGTGGGTTAGGTAGGACCTGGAGATGGGCAGACTGTGATGGAGACAGAAGGAGCCTGGGGAGGAGGTTAGGTTTGAGAAGGGAGAGGAAGAGTGAAAATGCTGCTGGCAGAGGAAGGGGGACTCCTGCCTGCCCACTTCTCCCCAGGGAGCCATGACGGCAGGGAGGGGTATTTTGTACTGCCTCTGGTATCTGAGCAGGCTTGGTCAGAGCAATCTTGGGTATCTCTGAATGGCTCTGCACCGTCCCGTGTAGCCAGGCCCCAGCAGGCTGGAGAACGGGGCTTGATAGACTAGGAAGCTAAATGTGGCCATGGGAGCAAGGGTGAATGTACCTAAATAGCAATGTTTGTTACTGAGGCCCAGAATATGCTAAAGGTACATGAGCCCTGAGGAGCAGCCAGGGCACTGAAGGTGAGCTCTCTTGGCTCGGTCTGCATTCTGTATTTGTTTTATCCATGGAAACTCCTTGCACAATAAAACCTCTTGCTGTAAACTCAAGCCATCCATTTCCGAGCAGCGACCTATCCTCCACTCGCAAGCCCCACCTGAGTGGCCATGACAACAGAGCGTATACAAAGGTGCAGGCCTGGGGCTGACCCATAACCACGCCTGCGGACAGTCTAGCCTGGGAGACGTAAGGGTAGAGACAGGACGTTTTGGCCTTGGGGTTGTCCCAAGACCTCCAGCTGGCCTTTACAAGTCTGAGGATGGATGGCTGCCTGTGCTACTGGCTGAAAAAGGGAGAGAAATTTAAAATGGGGAAATAAAGTAGGACTGACCAATACATCTTTTCCTCCCAGTGCAAGCCTTTGAAATGCTTCCAAGAAGTATTTTGTTAGAAATGCAAGCCTCAGCATCAGGATTACTGCAAGGTAAGCTCCATACGAGCCTGATGTGTTTAGGGGTGGTAACTTGTCAAGGTTCACCCTTGGCGGGCCAAATCGTGCCTGGTGTAATTCCCCTGGCTCTATGTCTTGTCTTACTGTAAAATTAAGAAGAGCCAGAGACCTAATATCTTTTACTGCATTATTAGGTGTATAGATCTCTATAAGGTGCAAGGCACAGCCTACTAGAATACCTTTTAAACATGGACTTTATATGTGCAGCTCAGATAGAGTATGGGTTGTGTGGAAATTGCATTACGAATCAAGGAACACATTATAAATTACCTGGTTGCAGAAATTAGCAACCTAGGAAAATGAACAGGCATGAGCAAATGCATATGCAATCAGCCGAGGTACCCCGCCTCATGCACTTTGCATAGAATTTGTTCATTTATTTGATGAGCATAATTTAGTTTTAATTATTTAAGATCCTTCCTGCTCTGCTAGAAAATGTGGTGTTTTAATGAAGTCTTTGAAGCCTGAGGTTTTACTTCAAGCGCCGTCTCTGTTTCTGCAACGTTTTGGAGAAGTGGGGAGATCAGTAGAGGTTCTAGGAAGTTTAGAGATTTGGCAAAGTAAAAAACTGCGGCAGTTCTGCCAATATTAAAAAAGACATAAGTACTGCATTTGAGAATGTGATCTAAGAGCCCTTAACAGGGAACTACACAATTTGGATACATCGAGCCAGCTTTATTAACTCCACGGGTCCCAGCAGAAATGCACAGACGGCTACAACCCATTGATTTATAAGAATTTACTACCTCTTTGTCATAAGCATGTAGGCTGGTCCTTGCATTCAAACATTTCATCTTGGCCCCACTTTTGAGGCTTTCTTCCACTGTGGGTGCATGCACTCCCCTTAGAGTCAGAGATTGACCAACATGTGTAAGGGTTTTGCAGTCAGGCTTTTCAGGCCAGGTCCACATTGACTGTGTAGATCCTTAAACAGGGTTTAAGTAGGAAGTAAGCCCTTAAGTCATAAAGAGCAACCCAAGATCAACCATGCACAGGCTCAGAAGCAATCTAGACCAGCCGCCTGTCTAAACTCTGTTGCAATGCAGATCAGTGTTTGGAGGAGCCCAAATTTTGCCAGGCCTGGCAGAAGGGAGCAGAACCTGTCCTAGGGGAGTGCCCTAACCACTGGGCTACAGTCACACTCCCTTTCGCTATGGAAACCTTGTTTTCTTGATGCCCACTTGGCCAACCTGGGGGTCAGAACATCTTGCTGGGAAGTAAGAGATGTGGGTCTGATTCTTTACAGGATGAGTTGGGCTTCTTGGGCAGAGAGGGCTGTTGGGTAGAAGAAGACCCCCTTCCCTGCCCTGCCCCACTCAATACCTGCACTTAAGCAAGCACTGGAAGTGCTGCCCCTGCTTTATGCACACCTGACTCAGAGAGTTACCACCCCTCTGAGCAGTCTCCATGCCAAGATGATGAAAGTACATCCTTTGCAGCTCTGAACTGGAGGGAGCAGGAGTTCAGACACAGCCCTATACCGAGCATTTCCTTCTGGCTGGCTGTAGGTCCCCTCTGCCGAGACATCTGGATTGCACACAGAAATCACTGAGGTCATTGTATAGGAAGGCCTCGGGGCCAAATCCTCGCCATTTGCATCAGCCTCCCAGGACAGGCCTCTAAATTTAAGGGAAGAAGACACGCCTACAAGGTTGCTTGGGATCTGGCCCTTATTGTGTATATTCTGCTGTGGATGATATTCCACTGATTCTGTTGGCCTCTTACAGCATCCACACGTTGCACCAACTGCACGTTGGACTTATCAACACTAACTTACTCCTGGTGTAATTTTTTGGGGCCGGGTGTAATTAGCAATATAATCCTAAAAATGTGCAACTGTTTGCATTACAGGAGCACTGAATGGAATTCAGCAAGTGACGGAATAATGATTAGAGATGGTTTTCTTTTGCTAGGTCTGGCTGCTGACCTCCCATCACCGAAGTAGTGTTTGGTTTGTAGGCAGTGTAGTTAGCTGATTGTGTCAGTCCCTTGGCAATCACTAACTTCACTGCCATCAAAACAAGGCACAGAATTGCTTGCTTTCCGGTGCCAGCATGGAGACCTGCCTCCCTTGGTGACTTCCTGGAGCCCGGCTTGAAATGGGCATTTGTGGGGGTTTTTGCTGCTTAATTTTCTGAAATGTCCATTGTCCAGCAAAGGATGGACAAATTCCCATTGGTTTCAGTGGAGCAAAGATGTCACTTGTGTTCAGGGTTTTTGGCTTGATGAAAATACTTCAGACATACGGTCCTTTGTGCTCTCAGCCTGGGCCAAGGAACATCCTAAGAGCAAAGAATTCAAGTCTGGTTCATCTGACCTTAAAGATTGTCTTGAAGCCCTGAACGTTTGTGCTGGACTCCTCGCCGTTTCTTTTTCTTTGTGTGTTAATAGGAAGATTGCTTCCATGCAGGCATTGGTTCTTATTTAAGAAACTAAAAAATATTAAAGGATATACATACTCTTGAATACACTTTAAAAAAAAAAAAAAAAAAAGGGTAGGGGCCTTTACCACCTTAGCAATATGCCATCTGATCGACTTTGCTGAACTTCTAAGGATTAATAAGGAAGAAAGCTCAGCTCAGCTTATTAGGACTACCTGGTGCCATATTTTAATTACAAGACCCACTCTTAGTTAAAAAAAACAATTACAAAATGTTGGAACAGAGCTATCTTGTACCTCAGCCTAGTTGCTAGGCAGTGTAGTTAGCTGATTGCAAAAGGCAACAATCACTAACCACACAGCCAGGTAAAAAGGTCTGTCTTGCATCTAGCTAGCTGGAAGCCAGGAATGCGGAAGGGATTTAGCCGCACGGATGGCAGCTTGACCAGCGTCGCAGTGCGTGGCCAGAGCAGAGCCAACCGCGCAGGCTGGATTTGCCTTTAACCACGCACATGCTGTCAACTTCCCCGTCAAGCCAATGTGGCGCAGCTGTTTCACCGCTCCCAAAAGGGAGGCACGTGCTTACATCTGAAGATGCGTGGCAACATTTGGATGCAGAAAGAAAACGCAAAACAGAAGGCAGCGTGTCTGCTGGTGTACGGTCTGATTCTGATCTCGCTGCTACCTCCCACCTCTGCTACTTCAAGCGCGTTACTCCCCATTTACACCCGTTGAAGTGACACTGGAATCCAGCTTAAAATCCTTTCAGGGGGGTGGCTGTTATGTACTGTTTGCGTTGCCATAGGACCAGGATTGCTTTGTGCTAGGCGCTGCCTGAAAATAGATCACAAGGACAGTCCCTGCCACAAAGAGCTTACAATCAAGCATATGAATTGCCTCACAGGCTTTTGTTCCTTATTGAGGGGCTTTATATGGACAGATGGTAGCAAAGCTCACCGTGGGCATGCAGTGCTGAGCTCCACTCCCAGGACAGGAAAGGTTAGGACAAGAACTGCCAGGTCCTACGAAGCCTGTTGTTTGCTTGTGTCCCTACCTGATGTAAAATATAAATACACCTGCTAGCCCGAGTCTGTTGCTCTCCCCCTGGTCTTTCGGTAACTAGTGAATTTGATTCTCCCCGTCCCTTTGTATGACATTGTTTCACTTGCCTGGAGCCGTGTGTGAGAGTTGTATATCATAAAAATGCTCCTCTCAAATTCAAAGCTATATGAAAACATTTCTACTTTTATTTGAAGCAGATGGACTGATGGAAATCAACTTTCCAAAAGGAAAGAAAGAAGCAGCCCAATAAAAGCCACAGGAAATAATTTTTCAGTGGAAGCAATAACCTGGTGCAGGCTCGATCGATAGCCGTGCTACTGTTCCAGAGAAGCACCGAGAGGAGAGCCAGGAGCCCTGGGGCCTGATTTCCATGTCTGCTTTGGGCCAGATCTGACATTCTTCACTCAACTAAACCTCTTGCTGACTTCAGTGAGCCTTTGGCTCCTTTACTGCTTCAAGGAAGCCTGACACTTCATCAGAAACCTGGATTTTTATTTTATAATCCCCCAATGTGATTCAGGTTTGCTGCTGCTGCCGAAGTATAGTTCAGCTAAGTGTCAGCTTTGTGAGGAGCTGGCTGGCTCATGGGGTTGGTAATGCACGTGGAGCATCTTGGCTGTAATTCACTGGTTTAAATCAGACTCCTGTACTGGCAGCTGCGGAAAGCTGAGAGTAGCTGCTGGCTCTGCAACACCCGAGTGAGAGCTAAAGTTACGCTTTCAGCAGCAATACATGAATGCCCCCGCATTGCACATGGCAGAAACCTGTGCTCCCACATGGTGTGTGGATCCGTACCCTCAGGGCTTGTCTATGCTGGTTTTGTAGCCAGCCTGGCAGCGCTGACGGGAAGCGCGACTTGCCTACTCGCTCTTGCCAAGTCTGCAGAACAAGGCATGGCAGCTGCTTTCGAACAGAGCCCAGCGTGTACCCGCAGCCGCGGTCGGACCGTCTCGGGCAGGCTCCTGGACACAGACTCAGGGTCACTTGGGCAGATTCGTTGCCCAATTTGGGGTGAAGTGTGAGTAGATCAGGCAGAGCAAGTGTTTTTGTGCTGCTCAGAAGCTGTGGCAATCCCTCCATTCGAGGGTGATTTCTACCACGGCTCTCTGATGGGTCTTGAGTTGACTATGGGGATCGACGAGAGCAATTCCACGTAGCGATCCCTGGTAACATCTCTGGCGGCCAAGAGCTCCCAAATCAACCAAAACGCCAAAAGAGGTAAGAGTCCCATCCTCGAGCTGCAGACCTAGCTGCAGAAGTTGCAGGGCTTTCTGTAGAGGAAAAGTAGGTCGTAAGTGAGGCTTCCTCTCCTTTTCCTTCCTCTGTTCTCTGCTTGGAGGGTGAGAGGCTTTCCCTTGACCCCGGCTGCCACTTGGGCGAGGTTACGGCACCATTGGAGTCCACCGGCAGCCAGCTCCTCCCAGCACTTGCTGCCCACAGGGGCAAATCTGTGCCCGGGCCCCAGGAGCTTACGGCAGGCTCTGGCACATGCGGCCTGGGGGGTTCAGGGCTAAGGCTGCCAAGTCTGACTCTACTCTTGGAGGTTTCCAAAACACTAATGTGCCCACAACACAGCACGAGCACGTCCATGTGCCGGCGTAGATCAGTTAGGGATGATGATGCATAGACTGTCAAGAGGCCAAAGGCACGTTGCATGGATTGGATTCAATGTTTCATATTTATTTTACCCAATGCCCTATCGTTTACCCCAAAGTGACTCTCAGCTGTCCCTTGGAGCTTGATCTCTCATTCCTGGGGACTCCAGGGCAGGCCTGGAGGGTCGGCAGTGTCCCTTGAGTGTGACCAAGAGCTGCCGGGCATGCGGGGAGCCAGGGTCTGAGGGGAGGGGCCTCCACAGAAGGGGGCGGAGCCCGGGCTGGGCTGGGCGACTTCCATGGCAACACGGTGGCCCGCAGCTTGGAGCCAGGCCGCGGCTGGGCCGCTGGTGTTCGCGGGCTCGGCAGAGCATGACACCAGCCTGGCCAAGGCCTTCTGGAGCTCCGTGACCCTGCAGCCGCTGCTCGAGTCCCGCCTGGGCCTGGCGGCACCCCGGGAGCCCCGTGAGCGCGTGCCCCAGAGGCACTGGGGATGGGGCCCAGAGCCGGGGTGGGGGGCTCGGGGCAGGAAGCTAAGCTAACACCATCTCGCTTTGCAGGGAGGAAGGCGGTTGCCCTGGTGCCCCGGCACGGTGAGTGCCCGGCTGCGGGGGCGGGAGTCCCAGGCTACGCCTGGGCGAGCGTGGCCAGGTGCCCGGGAGAGCACTTGAACTGGGGCGGGCAGGGCATCTGCTCCAAACGGGACCAGCCCCAGCCCCAGCTCCATCCTCCCAGCCAGGGCTTGTGGAGCTGGGTCTGAAACACCCCCTGGGGTGGAGACTCCACTGCTTCTCTAGGCAACCTGTTCCAGTGCTTCACCACCCTCCTAGCGGGAAAGTTTTCCCTAATATCCAACCTAAACCTCCCTTGCTACAACTTGAGCCCATTGCTCCTTGTCCTGTCCTCTGCCCCCACGGAGAACAGCCCAGCTCCGTCCTCTTTGCAGCCCCCCTGCAGGGAAGATGCCGTTACCCTTCTTGGCAACAAGGGCACACTGCTGGGTCATGTTCAGCTTATTGTCCACTGTCACCCCCAGGTCCTTTTCTGCAGAGCTGCTGCTAGTTCCCAGCCTGTACCGGTGCAGGGGATTGCTCCATCCTGTGTGCAGGACTTTGCACTTATCCTGATTAAGCCTCATGAGATGCAGGGCTATGTCTTGATACTTGATATCAGGCACCTGTGGGCCACTCCCTGACTCCAAATTACCCTGTAGCTCCTTTCCACCCCTCTGTAAAACAAGGTGAAGAGCAGGGCACCAGAGGACTGGAGCTCATAGTGAGCTAGCTGTGATCCAGATGACCATTACAGTGCTTGGGTATGTCATCACTGGCTTGATTCTGCACCGTGTAGTCATTTGACTGTGTTGTTTTATCTAGAGCTGGAACAAATCCTCCTGGAAGCCCAGAAAGCTGAAGAAAAGGAAAAGTATCTTCAGAAGGTAAAATCTTCAGAAGGGTGCCAGGCATATCAATGGGATCTGATGGCAAGGGAGGATGTAAGGATGCAGAATACCCCAGACTCTGCTAGCAATTGTCACGTTTGGTTGGGTGGTCATATCAATACTGTGTCCTCTTCCTCTCCACCAACTGCAGAATGGCAATCCTGTGTGGATTAGGCTACTTTTTGTTGTTTCTGCACAAAACAGAGCCTGCCCTTGTGCCCAGCAAATCAGAGAGGATAGGTTTGTAATAAACTATAGATCTGCATTGCTGGAGCTCAGCTGCTAACATCGTGATGTAAAGAAACAAGGTGTTTGGGTAGAGAGTTCCTGCACCTCTCAGGAGGGCCAAACATTAACATTTTGTGAAAACAGGTTGGGGTTTTTTTTCATATTCTGCGGCTATCAGAACTGTCTCCAAACCCTACTCAATATAGTTGTTCTCGGAGAGGGAAATCTTTCCCTGTTTGTATGTTGTTTTTGATGTGCTGGGGTTTGGGAATTTGGAAATGAACCCAGAAACAGCCAGTAAGGCTGACGCAATATTTAAGTTGATGGAGTCCCTTGAATGTTTAAGTATAATTCATTCCAGGTCTTTCCTTCGTTACTGCTAAGACACCAAGTACATACCACATTCACCTCAGTAAAGACAGCTTGTGTGCCCGAGTAGGTCTTTAATGGTGGTCTCAACACACCAGGTCCCCACCATTATTTCCCAGCATCATGCTTATCTCCTGCTATATTTGAAGGCTTTTGATACCAGAGTGAAAGCAGTAAAATTTGTATAGTGATGTCTTTTTTTGTAATATATATAGTCACTGCTGTTGCTCTGATAACAGCCTGTGGCAAAAGGCAGCTTGTATTCATCCCAAATCAACTCTTTTATTTTGCGCGTGAAGGAAATCCCATGGTATCTCGAGGGAAAAATGACTCTTGCTGCGTGTGCGGCCACATAACTTTGCACGCTCCCATTAGATGTATGCAGTTTGTAAGTCTGTTTGGAGCCATAAAACAAATATAGTATTATCATCCGCATAGAAGGCTTTTTATCTGATTATCCCCTCAAGGGGGGAGCTGGGATAATGAAATTACATAGTAAATCTGGGAGCATGGAAGACAAATAGTGCATTTTATTAAAAGCATAAATTTGCAAATAATGAAGCACTTCCGCCTTTTTTAGAGTTCTGAGGCAACATTCATCCGAGTTTAAAAACTAATTATCCTGCTGCAGTAAAACCGTTGTTTCATGATGGGGTTTGCAACGCTACCATCAAATGCGTTGCACTTGGTGGGTGAAGTACAGTTGCGGAAAGTGAAGTGAGTACAAACTGCAAGGTTAGAGGCACATTTTAAAGTATTCAGACAAGTTAGAAAACTTTCATTTCTGCTTTAATAGGCTTTTATGTTTCAAAGAGTGTGAGGGATGCAAATTGCACGAAAAGCGTGTGACATGCAAATGTCTCTGCACCTGAAAGCACAAATGGATTAGGTAGGATACACTATAGGTTATGCAGAGTAGGACATTTGAGGTAGGCGAGGCAGCATGTTATAGGAAATGCTGCTGTAACCAATATACTAAATATTATGGATTAAGCAACAAGGTAAGGGGAAACCTTTGCCCCTGCTTGCCCGGTGGAAAAGGGTTGGCATGGGCAAGGATGGACAGAGGGGGATTCACTTTGCATGTTCCAGTAATGCAGAGGCATCATAGGTGGCTCAGCACCACCTGCTCATGACCTCGCTGCTCCAGCAAGCCTGCTTCTGAACCGGCCCTTTGGGGGTCATCCCTATCCAGTGGGGCTTAGAGCATCCCTGAGACTGCTTTAAGTCGTGCTGGAGAGCCAAGGTGCAGGATGCCCCAGGTCCTGCTGCTGTTTCTGACCCTGCGAAGCTGAGCGCTGGCACACCTGCCCTCCTGACTGTGCCCACGGGGAGGGGGCATTGCATAGCAGAGGCTGTATCTTGTGTATTTTTGCATTATTCAGGCCCAACCCCACCTTGGGTTTTTACAGGGCTCCTTGGTTCTCTGGAGCAGTGGTCTCTAAACTTTTTTGATCGCGCACCCCTATCAGTAAAAAATTTTTGAGCACCCCCCCCCCAATATATGTATATTTATATTTGCACACCCCTATCAGTAAAAAAAATTTTGAGCACGTACCCCCAATATATGTATATTTATTTATATTCGCTCACCCCATTAGTAAAAAAGTTTTGAGCACACACCCCCAATATATGTATATTTATATAAATAGAAGTTCTAATATTTTCTTCCCGCACCCCAATGGATTGTCTTGCGCACCCCACTTTGGAGACCACTGCTCTAGAGATCCACTGGAATGCAAAAGGCGTTAACAATTAGCAACTCTGCATCAAGTCATCTCCCTCATTTGGGTTTTTAATCAGTTAAAATAACCCTTTTCTAAATGGTTAATTATACACTCTGGGATTATGCGATTCAGTCACGCTGCCATATTAGAAAATTATTCAGGCACTTGTCACATGGGAGCACACACCACTTGCATATATTGACTAAAAGCTGACTAGGCTTTGGCTTTCTAGATGCCGATACATTCTGCAGAGTGAAACTTTTCTTGCAGTTGGCGGCAATATGACTGACGAATTAATATTGCATATATTTCCCACGTAGCTGATCCCAGGCATCTAAATCAAAGGCAAACATTCAATACTGTGATAAGGTTGCCAGTCTTACTCTGTAATTACAGTATATTTTCCTCATTTTAGTAAAATGTTTGGTGGTTGTTTTTTTTTTTTTTAAATGAAAAGCTTATATTCTAGGCCTGGGAAGGAGGCCAGAAGAAAGCAATCTGTGGTAGGTGCATAAAGGTGCTGAGCTCTGCAGTTTCTCTGGAGCAAGTCAGCAGTCCTGCTCTTTCCAATTAATAACCCTGTAATGCATTTGATCCATTAGCAGCCATTAGGCCTTTCTTCTGAAAATGGGATTAACAGAGTAGCAGGCCTTTTTGCTGATTACTCGGTTCATTTTTTTTTTAAATTCTCCAACAATAGATAAAATCAGGATTGCGCAGCTTTGCATGTCATTCAGTCATAAGCAGAGCTGTTTCATTTCAATGAAACAGTTACTTTATACAACTGCAAGACAGGTTACCCGCCTCAAGTCAGTCCAGGGAAATGATGATGAACGCACTGAATGGAAGAAGAAGAATCTAATAAAGATATTGCTAGACAACTGTAGCATTTTCTTTTCACATCTACATGGTCACTCTTCCTGTGTGGGGAGAGCGAAGGATGGAAGTTTTAGCTCTGCAAAGGGCGGTCTGCCCTGAGTAGGGAAGAGAGTCAGTATTTTCAAAAGAGCAAGCTAAATGATGTTAATTATAATACTGTAATTTCTCAAACTCAGAGGGTAATTTATTATAAACGGTTGTTCTAATTAGCCAGTTAGCTTACATGAAGCTAGAGTAACATGTGCAGAAACATAGCTGGTATCTTTCTAACATTCATTGCAGTGGATTTATCTATAATTCATTCATTCCCACAAGGATAGAGTAGTGTGTGATTAACTAAGAAATGACAGGCATAGCCATGCCAAGAAATCAGCCTACATCAGTGTGTCTAATGTAAGGCTGCCTGGCCTGTCCGAATAGATCAGAATATTGCTGTACAGTGCTTTTTGCTCTAGCCACTTCCTCTTCTTTCCATGTTTGTCTCGGCCGTCTGTCTTCCACAGCTCCTTATCTCTGAATTAGTGCTCAGAGCGTAGATCACATCAAATATTCATTCAGGCATGGTACTGATGATTATCACACTACAAAACTCTTGCAAGACTTTGACGAGCCCATCACAGAAACCTCTGAGGATCTATCTTCAGGGCAGATGCATACTCTCACAGTTCACTGGAAAAGTAATAACTGAGTGGCTCAGTTTGCTGCACCCATGGATTATGCCCCAGAAAGTCTAACAGCTCACAGAGGTCAGCGCAGCATTTGTGAGGACACAGTGACGTATGCAGAGCTTTGCTGCTTATGCCTGGGTTATCCTGCAGTGGAGATGTATAGATCTAGATATATATCCTCAATGGTTTGTTAAAGGGTTTTGAGTGTCTCTTTCTCTCCTCTCGCTGTATTTTTTTTCTTTTTTTTTTTCACTTCCCATTGATAACCACTAGCAGATTTGTTTGTATTAAATCCTAAATCAGTGCTGAGCATCGTGCCTTAACTGCTGGAACGTGTCTGGTGCCAGCTAATCCTTTTTCATTTTGCCCTGCTGCAACAGCTACCACTTCGGCTTGCTTGTTTCCATTAGTGGCCTGGTGAATGCTGTAGGAGGCTGATTTCTGTGCTTTTACCACTGCATTAACCAGGGCAGGTGAAATTCCTTAGAATTCCTTGTTCGCCTCAATTCAAGTGCTGGAAAAATGGTAAATGATGTGGGTCCTGGTTAAAGAAAAGGGTTTGCAAGTCTGGTTATTTCCTTCATTTGGTAATCATTGGGTTTAAATGCCAAAATACTTACAAAGTGAGAATATCTTGGGATTTTTCATCTGCCGAGGTTTGTTTTTTCTCTTGTACTGGCTGTAGGGATTTCCCAGAATACTTACTGGAATGTCAAACTACTTTTCAGAATGACTGTATATGCTGTTCTCCAGCTTAAGCAGATAGCTTTTCCCCATCCTGCTGTTTTTTTCCAGGTAGCGAAAGTCTAGTGTGGTACGTGCAAGTTAGTTTGATTGATATCAGGGCATGGAAACAAAAGTACTGGCAAACTGATGCAAATAGTAATCAAAGCACTGTTTCTCATGCAGTCACTCTACTTTTCAAACTGAGATTGTGTAGAGTGGTGGTTCTCGAACCTTTTTTTTTTTTTTGGTCAGACCACTTGAAAATTGCTGAGGGTCTCAGTGGACCACTTAAACTTTTTTTGTTGTTGTTATTCTACCAATCAAAGCACACTGCTCATATTTTAAGATCAGTAGTCTTGCCTTACAAGTACAGATATTCTTGATTTGTTCCATAACCTTTCTGTGGCCCACTTGGATGGAGCTTGTAGACCAGGAGTGGCCGGTGGGCCACAGGTCGAGAACCTCTGGTGTAGAGAGAGGAGTTTTGAAGGCAAACAGGACATTCATTTACCTTTTCATAAGCCAGAAGACCAAAGAGCATTCATTGAAAAAGCATCTGAAAGTATTACATGGTTCGACGTTCTGGGGGGAATCCTGGCCCCTGAAGCCACCAGGTCTCTTGACCTTGATGTCAGTGGAACCAGGATCTCACGCTTTGACTTTAAGTCATTTTTATAGATAAGAAGAGAATGGGTTTCCAAGAAAAATATAATCAGGATGAAAGGGGCCATCCACTCAAGGACTCTGGCTGAGCAATTTTTATATGATTAAAAGTTGTGGATGAAAAACCTAAATACTCCTACTTTTGTAGTTTTACATATTGTTAGCTCACTATTTGTAAACAGGTTTATCTCTGTGTGCTTGATCCTGAATCAAGGAAGATTGGTCTTATCAGAGCTCTCTGCAGAGTCCTAGGAGAAAAACCTCATGTCTTAAAACATAGGCAGACAAGGGTCTTTGGGTAGATGTGATATCTTTTATTAGACCAACTAAATGGTTGGACAAATTGTTCTTTGCAAGCTTTCAGGAGTCTCCCTCTGTCTGACGAAGGGGGGTTGTACCTAAAAGCTTGCAAAGAACAATTTGTCCAACTATTTAGTTGGTCTAATAAAAGATATTACGTTTACCCAAAGAACCTTGTCTGCCCGTGTCCCGAGACCAACAATCAACCCCCCCAAAACATGTCTTAAAACATTGTGCTCTTGTGGATTCTGGCAAAAAAAATGTGTTGTCTATTAAGCAGTTTCTTCTGCTCTTATTATGCATTCCTTCTAGTTTTCAGCTCTGAGAAAGGGAGGGTTTCTTTTGAATCTGCAAACTGCAGTTGAATTCAATTAAATCCCCTTGCACTTGACATGGTAAATATGCTTCCTCCCAGGCCAAGAGAAGAGATGAAATACTAGCTCTACTGAGGAAGCAACGAGAAGAACGGATCGCGGTGAGGCTACTTGCTTTTTAGATTAGTGTCTGATGCGTCTGTCTCAAGGCAGTCTTTCCTTAGCCTGTTCTGTAACACAGCATGGACTACCAAAGCTACCCGGATGAGCCTGCTGGTGGTGGTGGTAGTAGGTGGTTTCTAGTCTGAGAAGCATCTTGCGAGTAAGATGCACATTAGTTTGGATGTTAATGGACATTGAAAAAAGGAAGCACAATGCCTCCATCTTTCCTTCTAATCTGGACAGTGGATATAGGGAAGGGTCCATGGATACAGGGAAGTAATACAGCATATAGGCAAAGCGACCAAGGGTGTAACTGGCCATGTCTTGGGCTGGCTTTTATTTTTAAGATTGCGTAGGTTATACCAAAAGACCACCATAGCAGCCATAATCAGGCAGCTACTTTCTTGTGAGACATTGAGATAGAAGAGGGACCTGAGGAAGGACTAAAATGTGACCTTGTAGAGAAGCCCAGGTCTGACATTTCTTGCCTTAGTGTGGGGAGGCAGGTGTAGAGCTGTCGATGGGAGAGGCAGGCAGGGGCTGAGGCTGGCATCATCGATAGGGAGGAGGTGAGAAATGAGAAACGTTGCAGGACCCATGGTCGTTGTGTCTTGTTGTAAGTACTAGCCTATAAATAATGAGAATGGAAATCAAATGCAAAGCAAAATAAGGATAAAATTAACTGAAAAACTTGAATGGGCATCAGTAACAGAAGAAACACTTCCGTTCGTTTTAATTAACCACTTTTTAATACAACTCAATGGGAGTAGCTACAATTCTCAATTAAATGCAGTAGAGGAGACTTTACAGCCTCTTGGCTTTTTTTCAGACCTCAGTTTTGCATTTCCCCCTGTCAGCTTTTCCACTTTAACACCCTGTCGCCAAAGCTTTATAGGCAAGCTGCAAAACTCGCTGAAGTCCTGTTTGCCTGAATAAAAGCATTCCCTTCCTGCAGAGGCATTCAGTAAAGTACGTCGTATAAACCAAAGCACGTCCTGCCGAAGAGCCACACGCCCTACTTGATAGAAATAAGTACCAACTAACAGAAGGGAGCAATGCTATAGTTTTTTTCAGGCAGACAAATACAACAATTTGAAATGGTGACTTGGAAAGCAAGATGTCATAAGACGAAGCCTTTATTTTAAAAGAAAAATGTGGTGTTAATATCAAAAGTGTTCTTTTTTTTTTCTTCCATTTATTCCACGGTTGTAAAGTGCTTCATAATAAGTCCTTCCTTGTCTGAGAGTTTATTCAAATCTGGACCAAAAAATGTCTGTTGTATAAGACTCTTTCCAAGTGTTAGCAATGAAAGCATAATCCAAAGGCCTGGTGATATTTCTTGTATTTAAAAGCTAAATTGCTACAAGCATGTCCACCAATAATAGTCTGCAATTCTTCTCATGTTTGTTGCTTGTTTTTTATGCATGAATTTTATGTGCTGCTATATGTGAGCTAGGTATACTACTAAATTACAGAAACACCTGATCTACTTGGAAATTAGTTTTTTTAGCTCTGTGTTTGTGTAAAAAAAAAAAAAAAAAAAAA